TGTGTGTTTTTTCTTTGAGCGTGCAATGTATTTTTGAATCCAGGGAGAATAGAGTATTTAAATCACACATGGACAATCAATGCCTGAGACAGATTCAGACATGTAGTCTATTGAGATGTTGACACATACTCTATGAGTAAGGTAGTGAATCACAGAGTAATAAAGCAGGACTTTAAGTCTTACAGTAGTATGAGGAAGAGCGTGCCATGTTTTCAACCGGCACAGGATGCACAGGAAATTATTGGTCATTCAAGAGGGGGCGGAAAATTACATGACAATGACTGCTGCTGCATTCTCAAAATGTTCTTACCGAATCACAGCCGTTCTCTCATGGCCAGGTACTCACAGTGGCCTGTTTTCTAGTGTGACTTTAAGATAAACATAATCAGACAGATACCACTACATACTGTAGGTACACTTTCAAGAGTACCACAAAGAAAATGGACAATTCCATTCAGATTTCAGTCATCCAAAATGTGTGCTTATAACTGCTGATATACTGTATCTAAATACCTTACAGTTGTCTCTGAAACTGATCTGTGATCATCTGACCTTGTGTGCTGTAGCTAATGTGTCTCACCTGGGACAAAGAAAAACATAGCCTACTGTACATTATTTATTATTTAAAGCCACAAGTTCAAACTCAAGATCAAACATGGGTTAGTGAGTAAGCTTAGAACTTCTAATAACTCTTATGAAAGGGGAACATAGAGAGGGAGTGTTGTTTTTCTCACTCACTAAACTCTATATATCATGCCCTCTCCCCCCTCTCTCAGAGCAGTAATTCATCTGACAGGAACAGCAGCACTACAGTAGACTGACAGTGTTACCATACCTCTCCCTGTGTATTTGTGCCCCCACTACCCCAATGACATGCAAGGGACCATTTCCAGTTGTGTAACTCTGTATTTCACCACTAAGAGCTGCAGGGGGAGGGCTCTTAGAGCTTCTGCATGAGAAATGCTGCTTATCATCCCCCAACTCAAACAGGTAGCAGCAGTTTTGAAAGTTCACAGGAAGGGAAGCAGAAAATGCTCACTGGCTTGTGCAGACAGTAATATCTGTTGATATAAATACAATATAATATATCCTTTACAATATACTATGATTAAGAAAACAATAATCTGATAATAATATAGTTTTCCTGAGATAAAAGGGTGATGAACCCTCAATGAATGACTGCTTAATCATTGTCTTTCTCTTAATGTAACTCAATGTAAAGAAAATACCATGCCATGGTAGAAGCCTATACAATTGTAAAACTCAGCCAGATACATCAAGCATAAAGGCATAGCCTACCAGAGAACCTGAGGGCGGCCGAAACTGAACATATTTAAAAGAGATCTTAAAACACACCTTTTTAACTTTGCTTTTCCTTAGGGTGCTTTTTTAGTCTTTCAGTGTTTATGGTTATTCTTCAGTTTTTTATCCTCTTATGTTTGTTGTGTAGTAAATATTTCTGTATTTATTTTCATTGTTTTTATTTATGTTTTTTCCTGTGAAGCACATTGTGTTGCATTCATGTCTGAAATGTGCCATAGAAATAAAACTTGATTTCAATCGATAAATGAATCCAAAATTGTGACCATTTCTAATTTGGCATAAACATAGTCTCACCTGAGACAAGTGATGATTGAAGACTAAATGATTATCTCTGAGTATTCAGGCTGGAACTTTTCTCATAACTTCTCTCAGTCAAAAGTTTGGACACACCTACTCATTCAAGGGTTCTTCTTTATTGTTTTACTATTTTCTACATTGTAGAATAATAGTGAAGACATCAAAACTATTAAATAACACATATGGAATCATGTAGTAACCAGAAAAGTGTTAAACAAATCAAAATATATTCCATTATACACCATTTGCATTGATGACAGCTTTGCACACTCTTGGCATTATCTCAACCAGCTTCACCTGGAATGCTTTTCCAACAGTCTTGAAGGAGTTCCCACATATGCTGAGCACTTGTTGGCTGCTTTTCCTTCACTCTGCAGTCCAACTCATCCCAAACCATCTCAATTGGGTTGAGGTCGGGTGATTATGGAGGCCAGGTCATCTGATGCAGCACTCCATCACTCTCCTTCTTGGTCAAATAGCCCTTACACAGCCTGGAGGAGTGTTGGGTCATTATCCTGCTGAAAAACAAATGATAGTCCCACTAAGCGCAAACCAGATGTGATGGCGTATCGCTGCAGAATGCTGTGGTAGCCATGCTGGTTAACTGTGCCTTGAATTCTAAATAAATCACCAACAGTGTCACCAGCAAAGCACCCCCACACCATAACACCACCACTTCCATGCTTCACGGTGGGAACTACACATGCGGCGATCATCTGTTTACTTACTCTGCGTCTCACAAAGACATGGCAGTTGGAACCAAATATCTAAAATGTGGACTCATCAGACCAAAGGACAGATTTCCACTGGTTTAATGTCCATTGCTCGTGTTTCTTGACCCAAGCAAGTCTCTTCTGATAATTGGTGTCCTTTAGTAGTGGTTTCTTTGCAGCAATTCGACCATGAAGGCCTGATTCACGCAGTCTCCTCTGAACAGTTGATGTTGAGATGTGTCTGTACTTGAACTCTGTGAAGCATTTATTTGGGCTGCAATTTCTGAGGTTGGTAACTCTAATGAACTTATCCTCTGCAGCCAGCAGAGGTAACTCTGGGTCTTCCTTTCCTGTGGCGGTCCTCATGAGAGCCAGTTTCATCATCACACTTGATGGTTTTTGCGACTGCACTTGAAGAAACTTTCAAAGTTCTTGACATTTTCCAGATTGACTGACCTTCATGTCTTAAAGTAATGATGGACTGTCGTTTCTCTTTGCTTATTTGAGCTGTTCTTGCCATAATATGGACTTGGACTTTTACCAAATAGGGCTATCTTCTGTATACCACCCCTACCTTGTAGGGGTGGTATACTGATTGGCTCAAATGCATTAAGGAAAAAAATTCCACAAATTATCTTTTAACAAGGCCCACTTGTTAATTGAAATGCATTCCAGGTGACAACCTCATGAAGCTGGTTGAGAGAATGCCAAGAGTGTGCAAAGCTGTCATCAAGGCAAAGGGTGGCTACTTTGAAGAATCTCAAATATAAAACATATTTTGATTTGTTTAACACTTTTTTGGTTACTACATGATTCCATATGTGTTATTTCATGGTTTTGATGTCTTCACTATTATTATACAATGTAGAAAATAGTAAAAAATAAAGAAAAACCATGGAATGAGTAGGTGTGTCCAAACTTTTGACTGGTACTGTATACGGGAGAAGTTGTGAGAAAAGTTCCAGCCTGGATACTCAGATTATCCTTTAGTCTTCAATCGTCACTTGTCTCTGGTGACAATCACGCTACTCAAACTAGTAGTACAGTGTTAGCAATTTACTGTCTCTCTCTTAATGTAACTCAATGTAACTTTAAAGAAAATATAATGCCATGGTAGTAGCCTATACCATTGTAAAACTCAGCCAGACATATCAAGCATAAGGCTTTAAAACCATTATAATGGTTGAACACACAGAGCTATCTTATCAGAGCATGGAGACAAACCAGATGTTTTATTGTCCAGTTCAGACACACAGGCTCTTACTGTATGTACATGAATCTGTATCTAATCCTATCAGTATGTATTTGTTTGAATACTAAGGCAAAGAACATTTACAAATGAGATTAGATTTTACAACCTTGAATGAACCATGTAACAGTGTTCAGGCTCAACTGTCATGTTGCTCAATTGCTTAGACATCTGCCCAGCGGTCACTGATTTGTGAATAATGCGTAATTGGAAGTGTGACTTACTTTAGTTTACAGATGAGAAAAAATAAGTCAACTGCTCCAGTCTTCACAGTTGATTGAAGAGGGATTTTCAAAACCACAATAACCGGTCAGAGAAAATGTATCTAATAGAATTTGCGCTGGCTACATGTGTCAGTGCGTCTCTCCAGTCACTCACTCTGAACTACTACTGGGCTAAATTACTGTCTCACTTTGTCTCACCACAGTACCTCCCGTCTATTACATGAGGGCGGTGCTGGATATTACAAGACCCAATGGTAACTTCTGATACACTGTGCTCGAAATTTAAATTATAAAGGCTTCATTACAACTGTAGACGCAAATACTGTAAATGTAGCCACAGTGGAACAAATTGACAGCATAGATAGGGTAGTATACTCTGATTATTTTATGGAGAATAAAACTGGATTGAAGTTTAATGGGTCTTTTGCTAATTAAGCTACAAATAAATTAACCAAATGGAATATTAGCATATAGCCAAAATTATTATGTATATCATTGTAATAATTAAAATACATTTTGAGGCGCAAGTTGCACTCAGCAAGTGATTGAGGCACGTGCACAGGCTCTAGCACAAAAATATATCCAGCTGTTCAGTGTCCAGTATAATGTTTAAAGAACAAACAAAACAAAGAACATGCGTCAAATTACGCAAAAGTATTTTATCCCCTAATAGGCTACATTTGACAATCAATAACGCAGTGAGTAAAATTGGACTGCTTTTAAAGTATTGACTGTTTCTTCGATGACATAAAACGACACGTTCGGATGATGGTGATCAAGTTTAATCACATTGAGACCTCTCTGCTCCAATGTCATGAAAATATCTTCCATGTAAATGAGGCCATCTAGTGGTAAATGGGAGAAAACATGCGACAGAGCCATATTATGCATCACGTTTACATACGTCACAGCAGACTCTATTACTGTGTAGCCTAATTATCACAACTTTAATACATTGTAACTAGGCCTACTAATTGGGAGACATAATAACAAGTGAATTATAAACTTCTAATTGAAGAGTCAAAATAAAGAGTCGTTGTCGCCACTGGTGCCACTATGAAAGGTCAGAGCATCGAAAACGTATCACCTTGGCTTGCACCTGTCAATTAGGCTATAGCCTACAGTCGTCGCATAACTTGGGGCAAAATAGACTTTCTCAAAATATAAATACATGATTAAATACATGATCTATCTCCCCCTCCCCGCTCTCTTCCGACAGTGCCCCAGCAGCAGCATCATCGCACACACCCAGTGCGCAGAGGCGACGTCCTAAGAACCTATTTCATTCTGGTGCCTTTTCACGCAGCAGCAAGGATGTTGTATCTCTATCTTCTAACCCTGAGCCTATCGTCTATCCATGGCATCCTCCTTCCTGAATCTGCCAGGCCCGTGGATTTGGACACCAACCAGATCCTTGAGGATAATTTGGCACAAGGACACACGACATTAAACGAGATGTTTGAGGAGGTAGAGCAACTGATGGAGGACACGCATACTAAACTGGAGGACGCGGTGCACCAGGTTGGTTAATGGTTAGGTCTACTCAGACTTATATTTGCAGAGCTTTGATAAAAATAAATTAGCCTATTATATCCCATAGCAGCCCTTTCATTTATATGATTTCCAATGTTATGTAAAATGCAACAGATAACAGTGCAGTACACTCTTATTATATCACTTTAGTTGATCTATAACTTTACTGTTAAAGCAACCACAAATTTAACTTGACCTTTATTTTACTAATAAAAACAGTTGCCAGTGTGGGTTGCGATGAGTCGAAGTCAATCTTAACATGCACAAGTTGTAAAGGAAAAAAACAGTGGTGACCTCAATGCAACACTGATCTTTTGCATCAAACCTCATTAGATGGACAATGAGAGTGCAAAGTCCAGCTTGCATCCCCATGACCTTCCCTCAAATTACCACAACGAAAGCACTTCTGAGAGTGTGGTTGAAAACCAATCCATCCACACCATAGAGACCGTACACAAGGTACAGTAGTAGTCATACTCAAATGTATTATTGTACTGTATTCGATTCAAAACTAGGATGCTGAAATGCTATTAACAATTGAAATACTGTATGGCAGTATTATTTTGGCATCCCACATTTGTGATGAAGACTGAAAGAAACATTGCAGAAATCCTACAAAATGTGTTTCTCTTTCTTCAGGAGACAGACAACAGAACAGGAGAGACCCACATCACCAGAACAATTATCCAGTCCAGTGGCAAGGGAAATAATATTAATCATGTGAGTGAACATCATGATTTACAACAGATAAAAATAACATATATTATCCACAATAACTGGAACACTATAACTCTAACTGGTGTTTTGTGTTTATTAAAGACAGTGGGCATAAGATGAATACAATTCCATCCTTAATGCAAATCACAATTCATGAAAGATTGAACAAGTCGTCGGCTGTTTCCTCTTTCTGTGCTGCTCTGCTCTGCATGCGGCCACAGCTGCTGTCATGTTTGGGCGTCTCATTTCTCTTTCCCCATGCCCTGTACGCCTCTCCAGTCTCAACTGTGCTGTCTCATGCTCTATAAGCCAGGCTAAAGCTACGTCTTACCCAGGCAGAGTGACATGTGCAGGATGGTGGCTGGTTGAGAAGCTCTCTTCAGCGCTGCATCCTGTCTGTACATTAATTATATATGGCAGCCATGTCTCAGCCCTGATGAGGCTGCTGATCAGGCAAGATAATAGCAAAAGAATCAAACCGATCAATCAGGCCGGATGTGTGCGTGAGTGCATGTCTTTGACCAGTATAGGTCTTTGGAGACAGATACGAGATTACTGCTATAGCAGGCCTCTGACCAGGAACCAGTGCAAGAAGTGCTCAATCCATTTTATCAGCCAAAGTCTGAGGGGTTTTTAGTTATTTGTTTGGGTGGTTTTAGTTACAATATCTTGCTGGATAGTTCTGAACAAGAACTTTGAAATGTCTGTATCATTTTATTCTGTGCTTTTGGTAAACATTGTGTTTAGTCATTGTCATAAGATCTTGTACATTTAACATGCATTTTCTTTATTGCAGTCACAGGTTTTAATATTTAGTAAAAATAATACACAGTCTCGGATCGTGCTATTCCTGCCAGTCTTTTCGTTAGCATATGTGATAGAGAGACAAGTGAGAGGAAATTGGATGTTTACTTAAAAATGTTGGGACAAGTAGCCCATTGTCCCATTTTCAACAGCAGGCCCATTTTATTCAGGTCACTTTAGGCACAGATAAATATTGCAGGAGATCTTGTAACAACGTATCACATCCTCAAAAATGTACTTTGAAGTTATTTTAAAGTAACTTTTGTAAAGAAGTTTGCAATAGTACATGGCTATAATTTCAAGACTACCATGTTTGATTTAGGCTATTTATCCAGTACAATCTGTTTTATAGTGCAAAACTCTGGATTGTGGGAGGCTTTGGTACCATATAGCGACCCTCTGCATGTTTATCTGTGAAGGAGGGTGTGTCCTGATTGTCCCCCTCTTTACAGGAGTGTGTCATTGATGAGGACTGTGAGAAGGGAAAATATTGCCGGTATGAGACACACCGATCAAAGTGTCTAACCTGCAAAGCCCTCGACGTGGTAGGTCCATTTCATGGTTATTAACAGTGCCACACACATTTTACACACCCTGACACTGAACCCATCTAAAATGTATTTATGCAGACCTATATTTCCCAGGGGACTTTGACTCCTTCCTAGTTCCTATTATGTTCTACTTTAGACCATCTCCAGTTTTTGTAACAGTGCACACGTGCACACACACAGCGATCACAGAACAGTAGATTGCTTAAACAATATGTTGCAGCTGCTTCTGCATTGTTACTGCATTGCAGTGTTGCCACAAGTGTAACTGGAGTGTTTCATGGGGGAGAGCTTCTCTCCTCTTGGCTGCGCATCAAAGCATGGGTCTGATTGAATATGAGCTCCACCTCTCTCAGACAAAGAGAGGAGCTGGATGAGAGGTAATGCGAGAGCCTACTCTACAGACACATACAATTTAATTTAATTTAAGAGCAATGTTTTTGGCAGGGCAGAGTGGAAATCCATCCACATAATACTGTAGAGACTGGCTTGCATTCAAAGTCAAAGGTACGCTGAGAATAGTTAAGGGTCTTCCTAGTTGATAAGGCCTGTGTTAATGTCCTGCACAGAAAAACACAGTAATATGTCGAACAGCACACTATTAATTAGACCCCAATATCGGTTCAGTTTGCACAAGTAGCAGGAATTTGCTGCACCTAGAGAGCTTACGAGAGTTACAAGAGACCAGTCATGCAGTTTGTCACTGTGTTTGTGTGTTCCAGCCCTGCAAAAAGGATGAGGAGTGCTGTACAGGACAGCTGTGTGTGTGGGGCCAGTGCAGCCAGAACGCCACTAAGGGGGAAGCTGGCAGCATCTGCCAATACCAGAACGACTGCAGCCCAGACCTCTGCTGTGCTATCCATAAAGGTGCAGGCCACAAGGCCACACGCAGAACATAATTCCTCTGCTAAATTATACACCATGAGTCATTCTACATGAAATTAACATGTGGGGAGCAAAATGGGCTCCTTTCATTTGGCTTTGACTCAGCCAGATAAAAACCTAAAGGGATTTCTTTGACATCCAAAAAAGGGAGGCTTCAAATTTCGATACCACAAAGCCTCTGTTCTCAATGTAATTATCCCTAGCCAATTATGATTGTCAAGAAGTCAAGTGAAGCAGGGTGCATTGAAGTTTCAGATAGTTAAGTGATCATGTGAAGGCCCATAACCTGCTTTCCCCTCCAAGCACTGTTCCATATACTGTACTCCTTTATTAAAGTTTCTGTAGTGAAGTCACTTACCTTTGTCACTACCCATCTCTCTCCACTTACCTTGTGGTCAGCCCTGATGTTCCCAGTGTGCACGGCCAAGCCAATAGAGCGTGAGCGCTGTCATGGCTCCTCCAATCACCTGATGGAGCTGCTGTCCTGGGACATAGAGGGCCAGGGACCAAAGGAACACTGCCCCTGTGCTGAGGACCTCCAGTGTCAACATCTCGGGTAAGAATCTGTGTACTGCAAACCTGCAACATTTATATTCAATTGACATGAAGGCATACGTCATGACATTTGTTTTTGCAAAAACACTTGGTAGACAAAAGCCATAGCTATCACTCAAAATGCTGTTGACCCAGAATGATGCTACAAAGTTGATATTTCCTTATCTCTTTGACAGCCGAGGCTCGCTGTGTCTGAAAGGAGAGAACTCGAGTGAAGAGGACCTGACAGACACACTTTATTCAGAAATTGACTATATCGTCTAGGAGTAACCATGCAGCTCAACCTTTTCAGGCCTGTAGACAATCAGAGGGGTCTCCAGTGATTTCAGCCTAGAAAATGAAGTGGCTCCCCCTCTCACAAGGCTTACATGTAAGATTCTTCCATCTAAAAGCTGGTCATTATTTATTCAAGGCATTGCAGTTTTTTTCTATTTGCTCGAATTTAACCAAAAATCTAGATTTTGCATAGTGCATAACACCATGTATGTATTAGATGGAATTGACTTTTTGGAAATTCCCGATTCCTAGACGTTCACTGTTCAAAGGTAGTGTGTATGATGACTACACTCCAATTCTGCAATAAGAGTTCTTCATGTTTGAGCAAATATGTACTGAAACATACCCCATCCTGCTCTCGTCTCACTTATGCGCCTACCTTAAGGATGCACCGTTGAGGCCCTTTGCTCAAAATAATTAAGTCAAGTTAGGGGTGAAGAAAGAATCAATACAATGTACTGTATACATGTGAAGTAGCTTGCTTAATCCTGGTTTTTGTTTAAAATAGTGGTTTAAACAAGGACAGATGACATTTCTGAATGTGGACCACTGACAGAAAATGACAGGGTCAGCTCATCATGCCCCAAACTTGGTAATGGCAAACTATAACCCAGACACATGCAGCTTGCAAAACTTTTGCTCACAAGGAAATAAAAGGCTTTGAAAATGTAGATGTCTATCCTTGAGATGTAAATATTCTTATATGTATATCATGTTCAATCCATATAAATGCAGCATTGGTAAAGTGGGGATTCAAAATATTTAATTTACAATGACAAAATACTGCAGTTATGAAAAAAAATATTTTAATTTCATTCTAAAATCACCTTAACTATGTTCACACAAGATTTAAACCTCAAAACAAAGAAACAAATTATTTTATTGGCATTCCTACTGTGAACAGCTTATGGCAGGCAGCATTAGAAGCCCAGAGGAGCTCTGCTGGGCCCTGCAGTGTGGAGACCCAGTCAGCTGGTCCATTAGGGTCTATGCCCTCTGGTCTCAGTCTATCCGAAGCAGCAGCAGGTATATAGCGCCACAACCACTACCCAATCATCTCCCAAAACCACTGAGGGCTCCCGCCCTTCACGCCATCAGTATGCACGTGGCCTCGACGGACACGCACACAGTTCACATCGTGCAGAAATAAAACGAGAGAGGAAATAAACGTTTCTAAATTAACATTAGGTTAAATACAGACAAAATGTTTTAATGTGTGCCAGAGGTCGCTCACAATAACATCAAAAATAATTTACATTGAACAAAATGATGAGCTCCTTAACGTAGTCTACTTGGTGGTCTAGTTGCCATTTCCTTGGTAATTGGAGGACTAATACGTATCAGTGAATCAGGAGGAAGTGAGAGGCAGAGCTCCTATAAAGCGTATGGGGTGGAGCAGCAGTAAGAGGAGATTCCACAGTGATGCACACTGTGGCATTCTGGGAAAACAGCAGAAACCCTCCAGGTCAGCAAATAAAAAATGACCACTTTATAGAATCAGAGAAGACAGAAGTTATTAAATGTTGAGTGTGAACTACGTATCGATTTGCCAAGGATGCTAAAAAACTGCAGTTTGGATTAAAGAAGACAAAGAAACTGGAAGAAGACTGGATAGTGAGTTTGTTGTCGTAGATACTCTTGGCTTTATACTCAGTCTCTAAAGTGGGTGGGTGGGACGAGCATCACTCTAGCCTGGTGAAATACCAGATGTGGAGAATTTGAACCAGGTACATGTTCACAGATGGGTCAGGTAGGCTCTATCGCTAGTCTGCCTAACAGAGAGGGAGAGCGAGAAACCAAGTGCTAGAGGGAGATGAGGAGAAATAATGTGTAGCGGGGAAGAGAGCGAAGAGGAAACAGACTGTTTTCTTTCCCTCTGGCTACACAGCTCTACTCTGATCGTGCACCCATGTCTGGAACATTTCCGTTAAATTGATTTGTCTGTATGGTGTTCTTTTTATTGAATAGCCTTTGCACTTCCCTTTAAACTTCACAGTACAATAAACTATAGTGCACAATATGATTTCTGAGCCACTCTTTCCCCTAGAGCTCAGATTGGAGGATGAGAGAGGGCGTGTGAGCCGCACTGCTCTGGTGACGTCGTCGAGTGAACGTGGGGCCCCATGCCAGACAGGGTCCCCTGGCCGGGCCACGCTACACTGCAGCAGACAGGCAGGCCAGCTAACCGGGACGGGCCTCAGAAGGGCCTCAGTCCTGCCCCAGGTCCTTGACCGGGCCCCCATCCAGGTAGATCTTAAGGGCTTTCTCCTTACGAGGTGAGTAACTGACCCGGTGGCCAGTCTTCAGCAGGCGGCTGCTCTCCCTCTTCATCAGCTCGTTGCGCTCGTCTTCAGACTGTTCCATAGGCTCCTCTGTGCTGTTCCTGAAACACCAGAGTACAAGCTGTGAGATCTTCTGGAGAATATACCTATATTAAACCAACTATCTGCAGTTTCCCTGAATATCCCGTTGTCATTTCACAATAACTATTCATTTGGAATGGCAAGGTGCCTGTTCCAGTATGAGGGGTTTACCTGTAGAAGACCACGGCGCCATCATCACAGATGTACAGAGGCCACACATTCAGTGTGGACACTTTAGGGTTCCAGTCCAGATCCTGATGGATCTCCAATACCGAGATATCACAAGGAAATGTTCCGCGCCCCTGCAGGAGACAATCAGGACACCAGTCAGTAAACTGGGAAACAATTCAGGAAATGAAGTGGAGTGAATCAATACATGAGTAAAAATAAATCCTTACAGCGTTAAAAACGGTTGACCTACCTTGGCAAACTCCAGGTTTTCAAGAGGAATACCACTTATTTCACTGAGCTGGAGAAAGAGAATTTGTGTCACAAATTGCCTTTTAAATACCCATTTAGCATGCCCTATCATTTACCTTGCTACATGTAGTTATTTTCCATCTCAGTCTAGATGTTGTATACTGTGATGTGAAAAGTTACTGATGTTGCTGGGAGCAGCACTTAGTGGTTAAGACAATCCCACAGTGCTGCCTTGCAATCCAGTGTGTATGTGGCCTCAGACATGCGCACCAGTGTACAAGGCCTGGCACGACATTCAAGACGTGAACACACACACACACCTTTTCCTTGAGTTCCTCCACACTGCTGCTCTCCAGAACCACTTCCTGGAAGGGCTCCAGCCTCATCTGGGCGGGGGTCCAGCGGCGGGTCAGCACAGCCAGCTGGGACATGGACTTCATCTTCTCCGGTCCTGGAAAGGCGCAGGAGAGGAGGGTTGGGGATTGCTGAGCACACACACCCACTGTCTGTCTGCCTCTCTTTCACAAGTGATACTCATTCAGAGGGGAGACAATTCAGTTCTATAGGGCTTTTCCTTTCACAGAAGTAATTATGTTAACTCTTCCTCCAACGCCATTTTTAAGTGACCTAATATAGGAGTTTGATAGAAAAGCAGCCATATATTTTAGTGTAGGTTTGTCTCTATTCAGGCTATGATGACCATGAGGCGATTTAAAAATGGTTCTGAAGAGGGTAGTCTAAACAATAGCAAACCAGGATTACCATCTAGAACCTCCAGGAAGACCTCCCAGTTACTGGAGATATTGATGTCCTCCTCGTAGACGTGGTAGTCCAAAAACACTGTCCCTGGGTTCTTCCACGTCTTCTTCCTGAGACGGAAACTGACCCCACACAAACACACAAAATTAAGATTCAACAACACTTCTATCAATAAGCATCAGCTGTGAGTCAGTGCTTTAAAAAGGTCACTCACAGTACCCATCCATAAGAGGACAAAGGTGCCCATAATACTTTGAAGTAAGAGGATCTGCAGCAGGTAGCCTAGTGGTTAAGAGCGTTAGGCCAGTAACTGAAAGGTCGCTGGTTTGAATCCCGAGCTGACTAGGTGAAAAATATGTCGATGTGCCCTTGAGCTAGGCACTTAACCCTAATTGCTCCTGTAAGTCGCTCTGGATAAGAGCGTCTGCTACATGACTAAAAACGTACACATTCTGATTGTATCACCACAAAGACACCTGTGGAACCTTTTACAGTCAACTAGCCGGTGACAACAAATGTTTTCATAAGAAAATATGTAGGTAAGGGATTCAAGTGTATAATATTTGATGTATGGTTGGATGTGTGCCCATATATTCGTGTGCATTGGATTGTGTACATAGATTTTAGATATGCAGATCAGAGTTACTTGACTGTACATGTTTATAAGTGTTGAAGGTGGAACTTACTTGTCGATGTTGAGGTCCAGGTTGCATTGGTCTTTCAGCTGAGGCATTAGCTCCTCTTTGGACTGTTTCACAGTCATGCCCTTAGCAAACACTGTGTCCACGAGGAACTTACAGGGCTGGGGAGGAGAGAGACAGACACATACACCATCACTTACGCCGGAAACTCAATGACATATACAACTGTCACATCAATACACCTGGTGACAAATCCATCAGTGACACACCTACAGGCTGCTGTTATGTGAGGAAATTGCACAACACCGAATAACAACAACCACTTGTGTGCGTGAAGAAACATCAGATTATCCCAGTCCTTACCTCTGCGTCATTCACTAGTAGCTGGTAGACTTTCACCCGATACTCGCCCTTCTTTAGTGCTCTGCCTAATCGTATGGTTATCTGTAAGAAGATCAAGAGGAGCACCATGGATAAGATTGTAAAATAAAAACACCATTATCTTTTGAGAAGAGTCATGATATTTTGAAAGGGGGCAGATAGTGAGACGCTACGGACCTTATTGTCGTCAGAGAAGGAGGAGAGGGTCTCGTTGAGCCGTACACTCTCAAACTCCTGGTTGTTCGCGTAGACGCGGAACACCTTGAACTGGGTAGAGGTGACCCCCACGAAAGGCTCCAGGTTCTGTTTGAACGCTGACAGAGTTATCCTCTTATCTACGTGGACCAATACACCTGACAGGAAAACAGCACCAAAACATACGTTTCAATTAGTTGGATCAGACTAATCACATAACAGTATATGAAATACTAAATGTGGATTTGGTTCCAAGAGCATTTAAACCAGTGTTTCTTAACCCTCAGGGTGTTGCTCACCGGTCTGTCAGATAACTGACATGAGTGCTTATCTTAAATTAACCCATTCACATCCATGTACTATATTTAGTACAATGTCAAAATGTGCCACAGATTCTGTTTGGTGTAAATGCATGAATTCTGGTGTAAACACATTTTAAGATTGTTATTATCGATCATACTTCCAGTGTCGAGCAAAGTTGGGAATTAGATACAAAATGTACACATTTTAATTTAATAAAAATCTTTAAAATGAATTCAGCATATGCATTTTGAAATACATTTCAGAATTAAATTGTTTAAACGCATATAGTATTGTTATTTGACCTGTTCTAAGCCCAAACATATGAGTCAACTCATTGTTGTTTGTGAACTACAGCAGTTTCTGTATCGTACTATATTTAGTCTTTGGACACGTGGTTACTGTTTTTTTTTGTCAACACCCCCCCCTAGAGTATATGCAATATAAACTCATTTAATGGAGATTGGTGAGTCATTTTACAGCGTTCTCCCTCTCTCAGATCTTAAAAACATCTTAAAATCTTATTATACAGTATAATCAAATCCAATGCAGGTCAATGGAGAGTGAGGCCTAGTACAGCATTCCCCCTCTTTCTCTCCCTTGCTCACAAGCACACACATACTGCAGACATACAAACATGCGGGTGTGCATGGATGTCTCATGGTAGGGTGGGGGTATGAAAAATGGTTAATCTTTGAGCACTTTCTGACCACATCTACCATGGGAAATCATGTACGGAAGGTTTTGTTCAAATAAAAAAATGGTGCAGTCATAAAGTGATTAAATTCATAATATGAAAGACCCACACTTATTCCACAGAAAAAAGGCACAAAATAACAATTCTATAGTGCCAACAAACTAAACATGCAATCAAAGAAACCAGTTAGGATCTCAGACTAAAAAAGATTAGCTTCAAAGACCTGCATTTGTAAATACATTTAGAATGGTTGGGCTTTCCACCAGCTGTTGTTGTTTGTGCGGGCATATGGGTGTGTGAGCGTGCGTGACTGTATGTGGTGTGTACACACGTGTGTTTGTGAGAGAAAGAGGGAGAATGCTGTACCCGGCCTCACTCTCCATTGACCTACATTGGATTTGCTTCTACTCTAGGAGTGAGTGTGAGTGGATTTCGAGAGATACCAAAAATTAAAAAGATCTGATCATAACATGTATTCACAGGACTTGATTCATGAAATGTGTAAAAAAAAAAGAAAAGAAAAACAGTAACCCCAATGTGTCCAAAGACTAAATATAGTACAATATCAAAAACTCACATTGTAGACAAACGCTTTGGCCGATCAGTAAGCTCAGAGAACATGTGTACCAAATGAAATGAATGATACATTGCCATTATGGACATGAATGGGTTAAGGGAGGGAGGGAGGCCATAGCTTCCCAGGCCCCATTCCAGAAAAGGTTGAGAAACACTTTGTACAATCTAAATCACTGCTGAGTACAGATATACCATCATCATCATCATCACACAGACAGAAGAGAAGACATACATTTCTGGCCTCCTTCCCCAGAGCCTTCCTCCTGTGCGTATGGTTCTGCTCTGAAGTAGAGGTAATATGATTCCACCTTGCTCTTCCCGTTCTCATCATACTCGCTGTCTGTGCCGCTGTCCTCCTCGGCCGTGTCCCACGTCTCCTTCTTGCCCTCGTTGGCCTTGGAGCGGCGACTGCTGGTGATGCTGTGTGAGTCCAGGCCATTGGCCAGCTGGATGGGGCCGCTGTCGGCGTTGCACAGCGTGTCACTGCTGTGGCTGGAGCTCAGGATGTCACTGTCTACTGAGCTCGTGCTGCGGTCGTTGTTCACCTCAGAGTCCGAGCGCTCCTCCCCAGGGAACTGGGTTTCCGGGTCAGAGTAGGCCCCCCCGCCGCTAGCCACCTGGATCCGGTTCTCCAGCTCGCGGTTGTCGACTGCAACGACAGCGGATATGGAGGAGGCAGAGTCTGGCTCCTGAGAGGGTGAGGGGGACTCGATGTGCTCAAAGTCGCTGGTGTCTGAGCTCTTCTGGCTGTCACTGGTGCTGGAGCCCTGCTGGGAGCCCTGCTGCTGCTGGAGGGACAGGTTCTTCAGCTTCTCTGTGCTCTCCTCCAGGATGGTCTCTACAGACTTCCTGTTGCCCTTTGACCCCTCAGAGCACTCCTCGGGGTCGCCGCCCACATTTTGGCAAATAGTTCTGTTGGTGCCGGGGGATTGCACAGGCAGCGAGACAAACAGGCGGATTGTGTTCCCATGGCGATCCAGCAGTTTCCACAAGAGCGAATCAGTGAAAGTGACCTGGTGATCTGGGGATTCAGAGCTTTCCACAAAAACCTGAGAAGAGAAACCAGAGAATGGACAGATGAGGTTTGTGTTACATGGGAGATCAAAGCACTGCAGAAAAATTACGTTTACAGATACACAACATTAACACAGCAGACACAAGCTGGAAAGGACAACAATAAAGTGTGACCTTGTTGCTCCTGAAGAAACCCTCTGCTTTCAGTGTCTTGTTGGGCACGTAGAGAAGCCGAAGGTCATTATAGCAACGCTCCAGGACGACACGCATGGTTTCGGCTGAGAGCTCTGTGGCCTGTCAACACACAAGACACACACAGTGGAGAGCTACTTCACCACAGATCCCACAACAAATACTGGCAGATTTTATAGTCTTACAAGTGTGGACTGTATCAGGCTGGATTAGACTGTATTAGAGATAGAAAGGAATAATTAAAGAGGATTGTTTGAACTAGTTTACCTGTGCAATGAGCTGCTTGAACTCAGTGATTGACTGGTTTAGGTAGGCCCTGATGCTGACGGGAGGGACGATAGTCTCAGTCTTCAGATCCACCACGTGAACCTTCACCATCACCTCTGCAGAGACACACACCAACCAGTCAACACACACAACTCCTTTCCGAAAGGCTAAAAGAGTTGCTAGTTATAGTGTTATATTCTAAGTATAAAATGTGTTTTACTGACCTCCGGGTTTGTAGGGCTGGAAGACTTGCTCTGGTCTGCGGGTCTCCAGCAGCAGGTCAAACATATAGGAGGACTTGATCCCACCCAGCAGCAGCCCCATGGGGGTGTCCTCCTCTCCCTCGTACGAGCGCTCCAGGTACTCATGGAACTCATCGTACTTGACCAGGCGACAGCAGTCCAGTGGGACCACCTCCTCCAGATCCATGAGCTAGGGGGCAGAATGGGCGCCCAAAGACACACACAAACACGTCCAATTGCTATAGACACATAAGATAATGTTTTGAGGCTTCTATTGGCCATTGCAACCCCCCTTTTATTCTTAGAACTGTGTCTATCCTTGGACCACTCTGACACTGGTATGCACTGCAGCAGCTGAGTGAGATTAGCTTTCAAGGCTTTCCTCTGCGTTTAGCTTGCACTCTGATGTACCTTGTAGGCCATCTCTGTTGCCTCTCTGAGCGTCTTGTCCTTGTGCACTTCCAGCTTGTTCTCCATCATAGTCCTCATCTTCACCGGATGCATGCAGAACAGCTTGATCTGACAGAGAAATGGGAAATACAGAGCAATTAACGACAATAGAACCCCTGTGCAAAATGACCGACACCGTTGCCCATGGGAAAGTCCACAGAAGGAGGATGTACCTTGCAGGTATTGCGCTCGATCTCCCTCTGTCTTTTCTCCTGCTCCTCAGACTCCTTCTCCCTCTGGACCAGATGCTTTATGTGCTCAGGGAAGTCATCACAATCCAGATACTCTGCAGAGGTAACAACACGGTCCATCAGTCAAGAGACCACCATAACTAACTGGAGGTCCAAGTCATTGAGAGAGACTAGGAAAGCAAAACCTACTAGGATTGTTATACCCACATATTTAACTTCATACAGTTTAACACCGCCATTTTAGACATTTAAAAGCAAACGTGATAATGGAACTAGACTTGATTTTATATGTTTCCCTTACTTGCATTCCTTGAGGGGTCTTTCAACCTATAAATCAGCATATACGCATTCGTAGAGCTGTTGGAACAGAAAAACATCTTATTAAATGCAAATGGAGAAAGGGAATATGAGTAGCCAAATCTTAGAGTTTAATCTTCCTTCCCAAACACATGAAAGAACAGCGCATTACATAAAAGCTCAGTTATCAACAGGGCTTTGTCCTAGCCTGAATAACCACCCTCTTGTTTTTCTCCCAGGCAGACATCAATCAAATGCAGGACTCTGAGTAAACAAGCCCTGGTTCATCCCCATTACATCTTCCTCTGGTATTGAACGTCGCTGTGTGTGGACTGGGAAGTGAACAGATGCTGGTTATTTTCTGGCCATGTATGCATTAGTAGGTACATACAATGAGATTGTGAGAGGGGAGAGCCAGGCATGGGAGTGAGATGTGTTCAGGGACATATTGATTTCAGATCAATCCAGAGAGTGACAGAGACAGGAGCTCCACTGACCTGGCAAAGGCACTGGAGTAATAGCCTCTGCTCCCTGAGGACCCTCCGTATGTCTTCCTGATGTCTTCCTGGGTGATCTATATAAGGACACACACACACATCAACACACTGGACCATCACCGTTGTGTTTCTGACAACTGTCAATAGAATATTACAATGACAAGTCTATTTAAAGCGTAGGTCGAGGAGTTATATTGATGCAGCCTGTGTCGAGTTGTTTTGTCTAGTATACATGCATAGTAAACATAAGGTATTTGAAGACTGAGAATTACCTTGCTGACGTGCTGGTCGTTGAAACTGTACCACTGGCCATCGCTGAAGGACTTAATGCAGGCATAGTAGTGGCCACCTGCAGCGCTGCCCGAATGGACCATGACCGAGAACAGCTCAAAAGTCAATGAACTCTGGAGACGAGACAGGGGCAGGAGAGACAATTGGCTAAGAACTCAATCTAATGACAGCAGATTGCACTACATGCAAACAGGCCAGGATGGGCTATAAGACACAGGCAGTAGTGGTGCTAGAGTGTAAGAACGGTGTGCGTGGTATTACATACAGTGTTGAGGCTGGGTACCTTTGGCTTCAGGACCCTCTCAGTACTGCTGGCGCTGTCCAGGCAGATGCCCTCATCCACACCGTCGTCTGTCGAGAAGTCGTTGCTCATCTGGTCGCTGTGGCAACTGCCCTCATTCTCTGCCCCGCTGTCAGTGCAGCTCTCCGTCTGAGGAGATTTCTATGAGAGGGGGCATTGATCAAAAACAAAGAGTTGGATAGAAAGAGAGAAAGCAGACAGAGTTCAGGTATCAGTTACACTCATTAATTAATGAGGACTTCATTGAAATGACTAATACATGAAACATAATCAAAAATCAAATTTGAAGGACATGGCACTATTCCCCCCCCACCCCAAGCCTGATATCATGATTCTACCTAGAGTATAAAACACATAGGAGGCCACACTGGGCTGGTGTTTCTCACCTCGTCCTCCACGTCAATGAAGGGACCCATGTCCAGCTCCTCAGGGAAGGACATGCGGTCGTTGAGTTTGATGCGGTGCATAGTGGTATAGTCAAAGTCAAAACGCTTCAGCTGCAGAGTCAGCAGGTAGGGAAAGTGCAGAAACCTCAGCCCCTGTGGAGGGAGGGCAAAGGGCATGGGTCAGAACACAACTGGCCTGAGCAGACCAGTGACCACCTTCACTCAACATCCCCCCCATCAGTTCTTCCATGACCCAAAGGGAAGTGTGGTCTTAACATCAACAAGATCACAAGTCTGTATACTCACCTTACGGGCGTCACATTTTTTCTTGCAGCGCTCACAGAAGTACTGGTTGGCCCCGTCCAGAGTCTCTGGCTGGACAAAGGCCTGCAGAGCCTCCTCCTGTTTCAGTGAGTCACAAAGGCATTGTATCAGTAACAACTCTGCCCACATTTACAACATTTAGGTAACATTATACTGTCTTACTAGTCACAGTCTTTAAGGAAAATGCAGGAGCACACAGCGGGGTCTGGACTTCAGTGTCTGCGTAGTGAATACATAAATGACCATCATAGCTTTGGTCTCTTCACACACTTGGATTAATACTGCTATAGTCATGAAGAAGAGCAGAGACATAAGAGATGGAGGGAGGGAGACAGACACGCACCACGCTGCCATAAGCCTGGCTGGCCCCAAAGGGTCTGATGACCAGAGGGATGTCCAGGTAGGTGTCGATCCTCCAGCTCTCATAGCCACACTCCAGACAGCGCACATAGTCCTTCAGTTTCCCCTGGTACAGCTGGTTAATCAGGTCAGCCTGAGGGGGGACACAACACGAGGGAGTCAGGCCCAAGCAGTCACAACGCTCACATGCATCTCTCAGAACTCTGAAACATGCTCTTCACTGCTCACATTGTACCTACTACTCACACAACCTCAACTCTATGCCAGCTCGATAATGACGTAAACTCCTTAAACTCGGTAACACTCCCCAAAGACAATGACTCGGCTCCTCTCAAAGAGTCAACACATTTCACTTAATATGTGACTGCAACAGCAGGCCCATTGACTGGGTAAGACCCTATTTAACAGGTAGAGACCAATTGGTCCAAGTGGTGGATGTTAATGGAAAACTGTCTAACGCAAAAGGAGATTAGTTGTGGGGTACCGCAGGGGAGCATCCTTGGTCCACTGCTCTTCCTACTGTACATTAACGATGTGAAATCAGCCTGCTCTTGTAAATTGTTTTTGTATGCAGATGACTCTGCTCTATTGGTGTCCCAAAAGAGCAAAGCCTCAGTCGAAGAAATCCTTAGCGCAGAGTTATCCAATATCAGTAAATGGCTTTCAGACAACAAACTTTCTCTGCATCTAAGAAAAACATTTTACATTTTTGTCATTTAGCAGACGCTCTTATCCAGAGCGACTAACAGTTAGTGAGTGCATACATTATTTATTTATTTTTCATACTGGCCCCCCGTGAGAATCGAACCCACAACCCTGGCATTGCAAACGCCATGCTCTACCAACTGAGCTACATCCCTGCCGCCATCCCTCCCCTACCCTGGACGACGCTGGGCCAATTGTGCGCCGCACTATTGGTCTCCCGTCACGGCCGCTACGACAGAGCCTGGATTCGAACCAGGATCTCTAGTGACACAGCTAGCACTGCAATGCAGTGCCTTAGACCACTGCGCCATTTGCCAGATGGCCACTTGCTCACCTGCCACCTTATTTGAAGTCTGGCAGGTGAGCAAGTTCAGTGTCACTGATTATGTGTGCTCATCATGGTTCACCAGCAGCCACAAACATCTAAACAATTTCGGATTTAAAACTTTTGATTCTAAAGAATAAGCCACAGACCAGCTAAAACAAGCTTGTAAGAATTGTATTTTAACTCCTCCGGCCCTCGTACTCATCTGGAGGTCCAGCATTTTAAGCAGCTAGGCTGGCAAAAATAAATCTGTGTAAAAATAAATTGTATTAATTGAACTTGGTCTGGTAAGGGCCACAGAATTATCACTGACTCAGCCCTCAGGTACCTATCCAATTATGTTTATTTTGTTAGAGATGTCCACCAGCATAATACCTGCAGCAGTGACTCGAATATTCACCGTTTTAAATAAGAGTACATCTGGTAAGAACCCTTTTTTATATTCCGGCGCTGTTGAGTGGAACAAACTACCACAGCAACTTAAAGCCATACCAACAACAACATAATTTAACTAGAATGTAAAAAGTTGGCCAACGATTAAAAAGTAGAAAACATTTTCATGTCTGTATATCTGGAATGTGTCTGTATCTATGTAACTGTATCTACCCTGAGTATACAAAACATTAAGAACATCTGCTCTTTCCCTGACATACACTAACCAGGTGAAAGCTATGATCCCTTATTGATGTCACTTGTTAAATCCACTTCAAATCAGTGTAGATGAAGGGGAGGAGACAGGTTAAAGACGGATTTTTAAGCCTTGAGACATGGATTGTGTATGTGTGCCATTCAGAGGGTGAAGAGGCAAGACAAATTTAAGTGCCTTTGAATGAGGTATGGTAGTAGGTGCTAGGCGCACTGGTTTGTGTCAAGAACTGCAACGCTGCTGGGCTTTTCACTCTCAACAGTTTCCCATGTGTAATGTGTATCAACAATGGTCCACCACCCAAAAGGACATCCAGCCAACTTGACACAATTGTGGGAAAAATTGGAGTCAACATGGGCCAGCATCCCTGTGGAACGATTTTGACACCTTGTTGAGTCGAAGCCCCATAAAATTGAGGCTGTTCTGAGGTTAAAAGGGGGTGCAACTCAATATTAGGAAGGCATTCTTAATGTTTTATACACTCAGTGCATGTCAACAACCCAGAAAAATAGGGACCACAACAGAAATAAAACTGACTTTATTGTGCAATCCCGGTCACGTTGTTTTATGCATGTGTATATGTAATTTTTTAACTGACAAATAAATTCAAACAAACAATTGTAGAAAACAATAATAGAAGTTAAAATAAGTACCGTAAGTGGAGAAAACTGCTGCTGGGGACACAAATATAGCAAAAATCAAAATGGGACTTTGATTAGCCACACTGATAATGTAGACCATTCTTTACAAATACAGCTACACGCAGGAGCTCACGTGCACGAGCCTAGTGCTTCTATCCACAGTGAATTAAGTTTACACGGTTTATACCAAACTCCTGAGATCAGAAAAAGCTAACCCTCAGCCTTACTGGCTCTTTCTCCCCTTCCCACAGTAGGCCCTTTGTTCTGGGCCTGGGGGAGGCCCCTCATTGGCTCCCTGGATTAGTGTTGTCAGACAAGTGGCAGGGTTCGCTTTTCTTTCATACCTGCTCTGTCTGCTTCCATTTCTGCTCCAGGGCATCAAACATGACCCTACACAGCTCCTGGACGTCATGCTGCTGCCAGGCTGAAAACACACAGACACGCAGAAGAGACATAGACAAACACACACAGACCAGTTAAAACACAGTGAACTGTGTGACAAAACAAACAGTACCCCTTCCCCACACTCTTCCAGTTCCATTATCAAAACATCAGAAGTGGTTGAGCCTGGGCTCCTCCTGGTTACGTGGAGGCTGCCTGGTGGGGGTGTCTAGACGTAGCAGAGTGACTGCCCACCTTCGCTGCTGTCCCAGCCGAAGCTGCGGGTCACGTCGGTGGTCTCGATGGCCCTCTTCTTACTGGTCTGCAGCAGCAAAAACAGCCTCTGTAGCTGGTAAGGGATGCTGGTGACCGGGTCCTCGTCTGACTCCTCAAACTCCCAGCTGGAAGAAACAGTGGACGAGTAGACAGAGTTGTAGGACAATGTTCTTCTCATTAAATACCCACACACCGTTTAGTAGAACAATACACAAAGAGCTTAATGAGAACAGGTAATTACTTGTACAGTGCATTTCTGAACTCCGGGGTCATAAACAGCGTTTGTAGAAGGCTGTTCAAATAGCAGGTCATGGCCTGGTTAACCAAACCCACATATCCTGCAGAGGGGGAGAAAGACAGGAAGAGAGCAGTCAGGGGGGTAACGTAACAGGACGTGAGGTCAAGTCTACGCTATTGAAAGAGAGGGTGTACCTGTGTCTGACTTGTTGAGGATGGAGGAGTAGGAGTAGCTGGGGCTGCTGTAGTCGCTGCTGCAGCCCACCGTGCAGTCTCTGGGCAGGGGGCCGATAAAGCGCTCCTGGGAGCCGTCATCCAGACCACTGCTGTCCGCTGTCCCCGACTCATCCTACACAAAGGAGGAGGAGAATTAAGCTTCAGCATATAGCTACCAAGATTGAACTGCCTGTCAAGCCCTCCTCCAGGGGAATGCCCTTGGCATGCTGGTAGTGCAGTTCTGTTTTTGTCGTGTGTCTGTAAATAGCCTGTAAATACCCTGTTTTTGTTGTATTTTTCGTACATATTTCCCTATCAGACGTTTCATCCTTCTACAAAATATACTTTCCTGCAACCCGCCTCACTCAATGTGGAACGGATTCTATTATTGACTTACCTTTTATCTAGAATCTCCAGTTGAAACTAGCTAGCCAGCTAACTAGCTACTTGCTATTAGCCACAGTTAGCGGTATTTCACCCAGAACATTGGATTTTTTTTCTGTGGGATTAATTTAATCACTGGATATTAATCACCGGATATTCGGCCAGTCTGCACAGCGCGTTATCGACCCAGAACATATCAGTTTTTCTGCCGGAATCACTGAATCACTGGACCTTTAACTCCGGATTCATCGCTACCAGCTAGCTGCAACTATATGGACGCTGTGGTCTGGCTAATCATCCTGAGCTAGGCCCATCTCCCGGCTATCTACCTCTCTGTCAACCGGACGGGACCACCTAGTGTTGACACGGAGCCCCGCCGATCCTACACGACTGGTCTGCCGACGAAATCGTCTGATGTGGTTACGACGCCGACCACGAAGATTCCATCTGCTAGCCCCGGCCCGCTAGCACACGCTAGCCGTGGCCTCTTACTCGCTAGTGCTTTAGCAGCCTCCGAACTATCCTATTGCTGTTCACCGGACCTTATGATAACTCAGCTATACAGCTGATGTCTGCTGGACTGTTCCTTTTTACGGTACTACATCCTGTTTATGTTTAGCCTCAGCCCAAACATGGTTAGCTTATTGTTGTTTCGGTTATTTCTAATTGTACTATTTCACTGTAGATCCCCCAGCCCAGCTAAACCTGCCTTAGATAGCTCCTTTGTCCCACCCCCCATTCACGCGGAGACCGACTCAATTGGTGCCTCTAGTGATACTATCTCTTTCATTGTTACCCAACGCTTAGGTTTACCTCCACTTTACTCATATCCTTCCATATCCTTGTCTGTACATAATGCCCTGAATCTTTTCTACAACACCCGGAAATCTGCCCCCTTTATTCTATGTACCCAACGCACTAGAAGACCAGTTCTTAAAGCCTTTAGCCGTATCCTTATTCTAGTCCTCCTCTGTTCCTCTGGTGATGTAGAGGCTAACCCAGGCCCTGCAGCCCTCAGTATCACTCCTACTCCCCAGGCGCTATCATTTGCTGACTTCTGTAATCGCAAAAGTCTTGGTTTCTTGCACGTAAATATCAGAAGTCTACTTCCTAAGTTTGAGTTATTCACTGCGTTAGCACACTCCGCCAACCCTGATGTTCTAGCAGTGTCTGAATCCTGGCTCAGGAAGGCCACCAAAAATTCTGAAATTTCCATCCCCAACTATAACATTTTCCGTCTAGATAGAACTGCCAAAGGGGGTGGAGTTGCAATCTACTGTAGAGATAGCCTGCAGAGCTCTATCATACTATCCAGGTCTGTGCCCAAACAGTTTGAGCTTCTACTTCTAAAAATCCACCTTTCCAGAAATAAGTCTCTCACTGTTGCCGCTTGCTACAGACCCCCCTCAGCCCCCAGCTGTGCCCTGGACACCATATGTGAATTGATTGCCCCCCATTTATCCTCAGAGTTCGTACTGCTTGGTGACCTAAATTGGGATATGCTTAATACCCCGGCCATCCTACAATCCAAACTAGATCCCCTCAACCTCACGCAAATTATCAACGAACCTACCAGGTACAACCCTAAATCCGTAAACATGGGTACCCTCATAGATATCATCCTGACTAACATACCCTCTAAATACACCTCAGCTGTCTTTAACCAGGATCTCAGCGATCACTGCCTTATTGCCTGCGTCCGTAACGGGTCCGCGGTCAAACGACCACCCCTCATCACTGTCAAACACTCCCTAAAACACTTTAGCGAGCAGGCCTTCCTAATTGACCTGGCCCAGGTATCCTGGATGGATATAGATCTCATTCCGTCAGTAGAGGATGCCTGGTTGTTCCTTAAAAGTAATTTCCTCTCAATCTTAAATAAACATGCCCCATTCAAAAAATACAGAACTAAGAACCGATATAGCCCCTGGTTCTCCTCAGACTTGACTGCCATTGACCAGCACAAAAACATCCTGTGGCGTACTGCATTAGCATCAAATAGCCCCCGCGATATGCAACTTTTCAGGGAAGTTAGGAATCAATATACACAAGCAGTCAGGAAAGCAAATGCTAACTTTTTCAAACAGAAATTTGCATCCTGTAGCACTAACTCCAAAAAGTTTTGGGACACTGTAAAGTCCATGGAGAATTAGAGCACTTCCTCCCAGTTGCCCACTGCACTGAGGCTAGGAAACACTATCACCACCGATAAATCTACAATAATCGAGAATTTCAACAAGCATTTTGCTACAGCTGGCCATGCTTTCCATCTGGCTACCACTACCCCGGCCACCAACTCTGCACCCTCCGCTGCAACTTGCCCATGCCCCCCCCCCCCCCCCCCCCCCCCCCCCCCCCCCCCCCCCCCCGCTTCTCCTTCACACAAATTCAGACAGCTGACGTTTTGAAAGAGCTGCAAAATCTGGACCCCTACAAATCAGCTGGGCTAGACAATCTGGACCCTTTCTTTCTAAAACTAGCCGCCGAAATTGTCGCAACCCCTATTACTAGTCTGTTCAACCTCTCTTTCATAACGTCTGAGATCCCCAGAGACTGGAAAGCTGCCGCGGTCATCCCCCCCCTTCAAAGGGGGTGACACTCTAGATCCAAACTGCTACAGACCTATATCCATCCTGCCCTGCCTTTCAAAAGTATTTGAAAGCCAAGTTAACAAACAGATCACCGACCATTTCGAATACCACCGTACCTTCTCCGCTATGCAATCCGGTTTCCAAGCTGGTCATGGGTGCACTTCAGCCACGCTCAAGGTCCTAAACGATATTATAACCGCGATTGATAATAGACAGTACTGTGCAGCCGTCTTCATCGACCTGGCCAAGGCTCTCGACTCTGTCAACCACCGCATTCTTATTGGCAGACTAAATAGCCTTGGTTTCTCAAATGACTGCCTCGCCTGGTTCACCAACTACTTCTCAGATAGAGTTCAGTGTGTCAAATCGGAGGGCCTGTTGTCTGGACCTATGGCAGTCTCTATGGGGGTGCCACAGGGTTCAATTCTTGGGCCGACACTTTTCTCCGTGTATATCAATGATGTCGCTCTTGCTGCTGGTGACTCTCAGATCCACCTCTACGCAGACGACACCATTTTGTATACATCTGGCCCTTCATTGGACACTGTGTTAACAAACCTCCAAACGAGCTTCAATGCCATACAACACTCCTTCAGTAGCCTCCAACTGCTCTTAAACACTAGTAAAACTAAATGCATGCTTTTCAATCGAACGCTGCTGGCACCCGCCCACCCGACTAGAATCACCACTCTCGACGGGTCTGACCTAGAGTATGTGGACAACTACAAATACCTAGGTGTCTGGTTAGACTGTAAACTCTCCTTCCAGACTCACATAAAGAATCTCCAATCCAAAGTTAAATCTAGAATTGTCTTCCTTGCCCTCGTAAAACTGACTATCCTACCGATCCTTGACTTCGGCGATGTCATTTACAAAGTAGCCTCCAACACTCTACTCAGCAAATTGGATGTAGTCTATCACAGTGCCATCCGTTTTGTCTCCAAAGCCCCATACACTACCCACCACTGTGACCTGTACGCTCGTTGGCTGGTCCTCACTACATGTTCGTCGTCAAACCCACTGGCTCCAGGCCATCTATAAATCACTGCTAGGCAAATCCCCGCCTTATCTTAGCTCATTGGTCACCATAGCAGCACCCACCCGTAGTCTGCGCTCCAGCAGGTATATCTCACTGGTCATTCCCAAAGCCAACACCTCCTTTGGCCGCCATTCCTTCCAGTTCTCTGCTGCCAATGACTGGAACGAATTGCAAAAATCTCTGAAGCTGGAGACTTATCTCCCTCACTAACTTTAAGCATCAGTTGTCAGAGCACCTTACCGATCACTGCACCTGTACACAGCCCATCTGAAATTAGCCCACCCAACTACCTCGTCCCTATATTGTTATTTATTTTGCTCTTTTGCACCCCAGTATCTCTATTTGCACATAATCTCTTGCACATCTAGCATTCCAGTGTTAATACTATTGTAATTATTTTGCACTATAGCCTATTTATTGCCTTACCTCCATAACTTGCTACATTTGCACACACTGTATATATATTTTCTGTTGTATTTTTGACTTTATGTTTTTTTACCCCATATGTAACTCTGTGTTGTTGTTTTTAATCGCACTGCTTTGCTTTATCTTGGCCAGGTCGCAGTTGTAAATGAGAACTTGTTCTCAACTGGCTTACCTGGTTAAATAAAGGTGAAATAAAAAATAAATAAATAAAAAAGTCATAAATCATTAACTAGTTTTATTTTTATCTTCCCCACTCACTCACCGATGCAATCTGAGGCTGCTCTCCGTCCTTGTCTGTGAGCTGGAGGAAGTTCCTCTTCCCGGGCTCGAACCCGGACTCAGTGAGGGACATCTCACTGCTGGGTTCCAGCGACCCCTTGGGGAGAACAGAAAACGAGAAAAAACACCCTTCAGTTTGAACAGGCAGGTCTGAGCATGAGAAAATAAGAAAATTGCGAATTTGAGATTGAAAAACATCAGTAGTACCCCACAATACAACCGAATTAAACAACAATCAACCAGTCAGTTAGAGGTTCCCATTGAATTCATAAGGAGAATCCCCATGTTGATCAGTCAAAGGATGAGCTTTTAGGACCAGTTTGTGGAGCATGCTATGAAGCAGCAGTGTTTTCTCATGTAATGTTGGCTGGAGGAGAGGGAGGGGGGAGTAGCCAGCAGTGGAAATACAGCTTAATCCACTGACCTACTCTTGTGAGATAACTCCAGCCTCAGATTACTTCAGGGACAGGAAATAAAGAGACTGGCGTACATACAAACAAAGCTATTTACACACTATGGGGAGGAACTAAACAGCACTATTTCAAGCCGTTGGTCAGTGAGTGCGGCTCAGTAGAACAGCCGACGTACAGTAGACAGAGTTGCCATGTGTGGAGGAGGCGCAAACACAACAATGACGGACGTGTTGGAGGAGTTGGTTGTGTACACAAGTATGTAACCCCCCCCAACCAGGATCCAATGAAGGGACCTAGGATCATAAGGTTGTCTTAGGACACACACTCACCATGTCCCCGGTGTTGCCCCATGCCAGGTCAAAGGTGCCGTTCACATAGCTCGCCTTGTGGGCCACATCCTCAAAGAGTTTGGAGAGGGTGGTGGAGGCTGGCAGGTTGAGGGTGAGCCTCTCATTGACCGTCTTAGCATTGGTAGTGTCCTGGACTATGCACAGCACTCTGGGCTCCTCCGCCGCATTCTCTATCTGCTGGATACACACACACACCTCCATTCAGTTTTCTACTTCATGACAAAATATTCAAACAACACGTTATAAGCATCTTATTTGCATGCATTCAGGGAGCCGAGAGATTTGCTTACAGGCAGTGGTTAGGGCATTCTCATACTTACACATGAATGTCATCATAACAGGCGAACGAACACCAGACACAGGAAACTAGAGCAGGCGGGTTGTGCAATGCAGGATTACTATTATATGACGTATGGTGTGGACCTTACGTAGCATTGCGTTCTTGGAAGATGCCGATTAAAATAGTAGCCCAAACCTAGAGGGAGGCACATTACTGAGACTGGAACAGAGCCATGCCACCAAACTATCATACAGTGCCCATTCCATAAGGAATGTCTCTTCAGTAAGGAAACTGAAAATATCTGGTTAAGTAACTCATCAAGGGACGGGCTGACAGTACATTATTAAATTCACCAAAAACCATAACATGCAATGATAGATCAAGATTTGAGCCTCCTCATGCATACATTGAATCTATAGGGCTAGTCTGGTTTACCATCTGCATGTCTAGTGAGAGCCTCACACCATCGCACACTATAGACCTTCATTGATTCTCTTCAGTCTGGCTTTGTCCATGTTATTTACAAAATTATGGGCTAGCTATTCAGCAAATGTAGTGAAGCCAACATTTGTTATGATTACAGTGTCCACTACAGTGTATCAGACTATTTTCCCCAAAGCAGTAATTCCAGGAATGATGCAAGAGAAACCTGTCCAAGACATAGTGGTGTATAGTGGTGTTAGTGTGACTTAGTGTGGCCAAAACAACTGTCCAGTGAGGCTTGAGCAATAACACTAGCTTAACCGGTCCCTCAGCTCCTTCACATGGCCAGTGCTTATTGTGACCTTTATTTAATTGTCCACAATTCTTGTCCGTGTGTGTGGTGTGTTGCCGTTTGTCAAATGTTTTCCTAATCGAATAACATTTTGTATTTTCCTAAATTATTCAAATGGGACATCCCCCAAACAAAAATTCCTATGGACAGTTTATTTAACCTACGTGTGTTAGCTGGTAGTAGGTTGGCCAAACTTTCAGGACAGCAAAAACCTGATGCTCCATGCAGTCATCAGCAAACCCCACATAGTAAGCTGCACACAGTCACAGACGCCCCACTCCGCTAGGAGGGACTACCTGAGAAAACCTCTTCTTCATCTCATCGAAAATACTCTGCCTGCAACTCCAAAACATACCCTAATGACACATGGGGAGGAGGGGTGAAAAACACAAAAGATTAAAACAGTGCAAACAGCTGTTACCGAGAAGGGAAACAGTTACGCAACATGCTGGAGTAGCTCTATGTATCCACAAGCGCAACGGCTCATGCGAACTAACTGGGAATGGCACGCTTTCAATTCACTTCTTAACACCACCAGTAATACTGTAGGTATTTTTAAAATCACACAGACAGAACAAGTGATCATCCTAAAGTAACTATGTAAAGCTGGTGATCTTGGCAAAATCTGTCCGGCTGATGCTATAAACAAGCCGCAGATGTCAACACATGAGTGTATTATCAGATTAGGGGGTATTTTTATCACAGATAATGTTGCAAGGTGCTGACATGTAGCCGTAGGTGCTACAGAGCACTAACACAATCGCACTACACAGATATGAGAATCTAGGCTAAATGACAAACACACAGTGGAATTACTACTTAACTAAAACCAGAGTTAGTCTGGATTTCTGTTGTTAAATCATTATTGATCCAGTCAGGTGACACCAAAAAACAAATATTTTCCTGCCAACAGGGAAAATTACAGCAATCTAACACCCAGCATCAGCAGGCCTACAGCAACACTAACTCTATAGAAGAGCCTTCAGAGGGTGAGAGAACAGGATACATCTGAATGTCAAGGCACACAAGCTGGTCTATAGTCACAGGCTGGCAGAGAACCCTGAATTTCAGCCGGTAATTTTCAGTCTCATTTTCAAGTCACTCCAGTCTGTAAGGTCAAATTTTTTTCTTCAATCAAGATGACAATCTGGGAGAGAGAAAAAAAAGCAGATCTTTACTTCCTGATTTCACAGTGTCGCCTGAGGTCTAATGACTCTCCCTGAAACAGATACTGACACTGAGGCTTTTCTATGCATGTAATTTCTCGAGAACTGTGAACATTGCATAATGGGAAAGCACGAGCGGGCTGGCTAACCTGCTTGGGGATTTGGTTTTCAAAACAACATTTATGCCTAACATGAGTTGCCATGGGAATTACATTGCATTAACATGCATTTGCACATCTGACAAACTGTTAACATGTCATTTCCCCAAAATAACATTTTATGAAATGTCTGAAACAGTTATATATTTTTTTTTAACCAAATCTCAAGGAAAAAACAAACATGACAATGAACTTAAATACGATAGGCCTTACACAGTATTGATGTCCTGTTATCTCCAAGGAAAGCCTGCTCAAGCAATGGGCCTGCACAAGGGCAAAGGCCACCACCACAGAGGAAATTATATGAAGCTAGCCTACACAATTTAGAGAATAAAATATTTGACTTGCAGACCTTGTTGTAAATGAGGAAACAGGAACTATTGTATAACAATTCAACAGCAGGTGTGCCTCTGCTCAATGCCAGATTTCGAGGCCCAAAACACCCTCCACCCCGCTGACTCATGCCACTGCAGACGACTTCTGTCAAGCGCTTTAACAGCAGCTAGCAGGTGGCTCTACAAAGTTTAAACCAACCAGCTCTGACTGGACAACTCAACAGTAGGCTGGAGTGGATATGATGTTTAGCTACTGCTTCAAATACTGACTATTGCCTTCATTGGTCGGACAATAACAAGATCTTTAAACTGAGTTTTGGTGCTGTCAAAAAAAGCTCTATTCCAAGTCGCCTAACCTGTTCCAGTTCAAATTCAGATGAAAGAATGCTTGGTTAATGGATAATGAAGACAATTCTCCATTATTTTACACAAGACATCCAACTGAAATATGAGGCCTTTTCATGCTCAAATGCAAAGTGACAGGGGCCCAGGCAGCAATGTGTGTAGGGTTGGAGATTGTCATCAGAGTTTGGCTGTGGAGAGCAGTGAGCCCTGCAGAGAGCTGAAATAATGGGTTCAGCAGCGTGATTAGGGGGATGGAGAGAGGACTAATCAAGGCTTCGCTGAGCACAGCAGCACAACGGCTTGGACCGTCAGCACTGGGAACACTTGATTATTGAATGAGGCTGTCCAGAGCAGATTTAAACTAGAGTCAATTCCATTTTAAAGAAATGTATTATCCTACTGAGGCCAACATTCCAGTCTCAGCCCTAATACTGCCTGGTCCTCTGTAGCTCAGCTGGTAGAGCACAGCGCTTGTAACGCCAAGGTAGTGGGTCCCCGGGACCACCCGTACACAAAAATGTATGCACGCATGACTGTAAGTCGCTTTCTGCTAAATGGCATATTATTATTATTTATTATTACTAGCCTAAACAGAGGCTTCTGGCACTATATTTCAGCAAACTCAACAAATACAGTTGCAGGATTAGCTACAATAAATCTTCAGAAAGTGTGAGTGCAACAAAATACCCCTAAATTTGAACAACACAATAGCTGTATTCATGTGGAAATTGTGTACACAAAACCACCATATGAAATGTTAATAAGGCATCTAAAATGTCCTCCAATAGACAAGGAGGTACTGACAGTGTCATATAAAAAAAAGTTTAGATCGTTAACTATTAACAGTTAGAGCTAATTGTATTAAGCAAAATGGAGCATTACTAGCTAGCTAATATTATCAAAGTTAGCTAATAGCAACATTTTTGTATAAGACATATCAAATAGTTAATTACCGTTAGCTATGAAACCAAAGGTCATGTGAGACTGATGTTTAGAAAAATAGATGGCTAGCTAACGTTACCTGCAACAAGGACTCTTTTGTTTACCCGATCGGAAACTAGCAAGTTAGCTTGTCATCCACAAGATGAGGCCGTCCAGCTGGCTAGTTTGCCTTTGCTTTGACAAGCTAGCCAGCTACTAGTTAACGTTAGCAGCACCTCAAAGCAATGTCTAACGACATTAACAAGCTAGCCAACAAAAACAACGACAAAATATTACTCCAATTGTTTTATTTTCCATGTAGCTACCTGGCTACCTCTGTTGTCCACCACAGTTTCCTAGTTAAACGTTAATACCCCGTTTTGAGCGAAACAGTCGGGCTTAAAGCTACAGTAGCTAGCTAGCTAAGGTTAGCATGCTAGCAGTCTTTGCTAACTAGCTAAACGAAAGCTAACGTTAGTTAGCCAACTCGGTCATTGCGGTTTTACGCTTCAGTAGATAATGCCAACAACTACTTTTCTGTGCTAACTTCTAAAAAGTTGCTTGTATCACTGACTATCACAGGGATGATTGCTGCTAAGGGCCCGTTGTTGCCAGAACCCGTTCTGGGACTGGCTATGATAATCTCACCTCTTTGGGTACGAGCTGGTTCTCTTCGCTGGGCACCATTTCCATTTGTACGACAATTTATACAGGCATCTACCCGAGCTCGATGTCAACGGGAAAACTTTTCGACGGTGAACACAAACATAATTTGTGTTTTTTCAACCCGAGGGTCTGTACAACTAAACTGAAACTAATAAAAACTTGCATTAAAATTAGGTCGGATAGTTTCTTTCTGTTACACCACCTAAGCACAAACACACGGCTATCAATGGGGAGGAAATGGCCAGTCTTCAGTTTCGCGAGATTTCAGAGAAGGTATCATCGTCACATCCTAAAACATCTCTGACGTCACTGATAACCTACGTAGCTAGACTGTAGGGTGTATGTACAGGTAACTAATGAACGCCGTTTGGGTCTTTGCATGGCAAAAAAGAAACACGTCAAATAACCTTGTGGACCTGAATGTGACTGCACGTCACATAACAATTTAACACGTTCATACATTTTTTACGTAGTTATTACACATTGATTACACTATCACTCGTATTTCATATGTCACAACGACTCATCTATACGTTTGCTATGATGCTGGTAAAGTTTTGTCTCGCGCACATGCTCTTCCCCAAGCTATGGACAGTGCTGGTCATTAAAAAAAGCTAGCTAACGTTAGCTGATGGATGCAAACAATGTTCTTCCCCAAAAACATTGCAAAACGACATAATCTGTTTCAGTAGCTATAGTTAGCTAGCTAACAATCTAAATAGGTGTCATCATCTAAAATACCCCTAATTTATAAAACTGTTCTTATTTGATTAATGGTGGTCGGACCCACCTATGTGAAGCTAGCCACAATAAGGATTAGCCACAATAGTGGAATTTGCGGTTAGCCTTCAAAATAAAAGTATGTCATTGACAGTGATGCACATGAATACATATAGTGGAATTATGCTATGGATCATACTAAACGAGGTTGGATTGTTGTTATATAAATTCAACAAAATAAAATAAATTGTTAATTTGACAAAAATCTGTTGAAATCACACTGGATGTATTAGACTTTAGAATTGCATTAGGGGCATATTTATTTCACTGTACAGACTTACCTATGGATTATGGATCAATGACATGGGGTATCAGTCTACTCAGTGACACGCAGAGAACATTCGCGTCGTAGCTCTTATTGCGGGACTCTGAAACCACTGTGAATCACCCTACTATGTGTATTGAACACTATTCCAGAGGAAAAACTATGTTTTGGAGTCTGATAACTCTGAGGAGGACGTTGGGGAAAAAGCTCTTGGTACTGAGTAGACTGACACACCATTTAATTGATCCCCAATCCTTAGGTAAGGCTGTACAGTGCAATATGAATGTCAATACAAACAATAGGCTGACTGGCGACGTGATTTCACAGTCACAGTCCCGCGATAAGAGCTACAACGCTAATATTTGCATAAAACCTTCACAGTTGTGTTCTGTGGGTGTCACCGAGTAGACTGACACCACATTTCATTGCTCCACATTCCAACCTTGTTTAACATTATCTAGTCTAAATATTGCATGATTTCACCAATTGTAACCTTCTGCGTCACTTTCAAAGAGGAACTTTTATTTTGAAGGCAACCCACAAATTCCACTATTGTGGCTAATCCTTATTGTGGCTATTTTCTCAACACATTACCAGGTCCGGTCAAGCCTCACCAGCCAGATTAAGTTTACTGGCTGCTAATAACGTTAGAATTCAATTTCAAGTTCAAGTGGCTACCTAGCTAACTCACTCACATGGATTCCTAAATCATTGCTAAGAATATTGAAAATGACTGCAGTTTCTATTGATCATCGTTACCAAGCTAAAGCTAGCTAGTTACCCCAGAAGTTGCTAATAACATCTGTATCAAAGATATTTGCAAACATTTTTGATCCTGCTCGTTTGATCCTGCTCTTATTTCAAATGCTCACACAGACGTTTTCCCATTCGGTGCACATGCAAATTCAGCACACACAACATTCTATAATATAATTTTATTATTTGACGCGTCAAATAGTGTTATTTGATACTTCAAATAGTTATTTGACGTGTATCTTTTTTGACACGCAAAGACCCAAACGGCGTTCCATAGGTACCTGCCAAAAATAAAGGAAACACGAGTAAATGAGGGATACAAAATATATTGAAAGCAGGTGCTTCCAGACAGATGTGGTTCCTGAGTTAATTAAGCAATTAACACCACATCATGCGTAGGGTTATGTATACAAATGCTGGGCAGGCCAAGATCTCAACCCAATTGAACACTTATGGGAGTTTCTGGAGCGGCACCATCAACAAAACACCAAATTATGGAATTTCCCGTGGAAGATTCCCATGGAAGAGTGGTGTTGCATCCCTCCAATGGGATGCAACACCACTCTTCCACGGGAAATTCCATAATTTGGTGTTTTGTTGATGGTGGTGATAAATGCTTATACTTGTGGAATCTATGCCAAGGTGCATTGAAACTGTCCTGGCTCGTGGTTGCGCAACGCCCTATTAAGACAATTTATGTCTTATGTTGGTGCTTCCTTTATTTTGGCAGTTACCTGTATGTCTGTAGGCCTATGTATGTATGTATAGATATATGTTTGGATGTAGCTTGTCTGTCTGTTATGGCCAACATCACAGATTGGAATATAATATTTTAAGAGCTAGTGCTGTACCAATCATTGCGTGGCATATTTTGGGTAGGCCTAGCAGTGTGCCCTATCCACTCATTATTTTAAAATAACAAATAAACAATGAACACATTAACAATCATTATTGCAAGTCGGAGTACAGAAGGGAATTGTTAATTGTTTACCTAGAATTTCAACTTCTCTACAAAGTCACCAACTCATAAATTAAAGTAAATTGGACATTTTGATTAGCATTATAATACAGACGACTCAGGGAAGGTGAAAGAGAGACTCACAAACCAGTGTGGTACCATTTCATATGTATTTTTTAATGACCAGCATAAATGATCATCAGGTTGTCAACAACCATCTGGTTTGCATGGTGGTACACAAGTTAGGGAATGGGGTATTCACAAATGTACTTTTTCTTGCCAAGGCAGACCTCATCATGCCACTTTCCCTGTGCAGCCAGTGAGAGCACAACACAGCTCTCCCTCTTGGTCCCTGTTGGCTGCTTCTTGGTCTTGTCCCAGTTGAAGTAGCTGATGGGCATGCTGTTGACGTCTACGTACTGGCCCTCCTTCACAATGTCTGTCACACCGATCCAGAACTCCTTGGTACCTGGCGCACTCCTCTTGGCATAGTCCCTCAGGTCATTGTTTTCATTGAGGTCACGTGGAGTGGCAAGGGTTCCACCCCATGCGATGCAGTGTTCGTTGGCCTCATGGTAGTGCTTGGGTTCCTCGATGGTCAGGTAACACTTCCTGTGAGCTTTGATGCCACGGAGACAAACTGGAAGCATAGGGAAGCAGTTTAGTGCATTTATCTCCTTCAAACTTCCTCAGGCAAATTCCCTTCCTACCATGCTCAAATATTACTGAAGAATTTGCAATATATACAAAATAAGTATTTCCATGACATATTGGTGTATATTATAATATGCCATTTAGCAGACGCTTTTATCCAAAGCAACTTACAGTCATGTGTGCATAATTTTTTGTGTATGGGTGGTCCCGGGGATCGAACACACTACCTTGGCGTTACAAGCGCCGTGCTCTACCAGCTGAGCTACAGAGGACCACTGTCTCACTGATATTTTATAATCTATAGAATTTCAATCAGACATAATGAGGACTAGTAGGACCAAGCAAAGATTTTCATCTCTATCCATGTTTCCTAAACCAAGTTCCCAAAATAAGACATAAGCCCTTTCAGTGGGAGGGAACCCAGACAGAGGCATACTGTATGAGACTGTAACACTATGTTCTTCCACCCTCCCTGTATAAAGAACCTGTCTCATCATAATACTTTTATATCCATCATCATACATTACACAATGCACTCCAAGGCATTTATGAAGACATTCATTTGCGTTATCTTCCCCAGCACATGACTCAGTGCTCTCTCAACATCATTATTGCTGCTGCAAGGCATGAGGTTTTAGGTAAGAGTACTCCTGCCCTCTACTGGTGACTGAGCATATTAGTAAATGGCAAATGAAAGTAATAATAATAATAATATGCCATTTAGCAGACGCTTTTATCCAAAGCGACTTACAGTCATGCGTGCATACATTTTTTTGGTGTATGGGTGGTCCCGGGGATCGAACCCACTACCTTGGCGTTACAAGCGCCGTGCTCTACCAGCTGAGCTACATACACCAAAGTGTATGCTAACCCCTGATGTCTGGGGTTAGTGTGAATTACCATAAGAAATATAAAATCATAATTTCTCTGCATAAATTCCACACTATTAGGGAAAAAAAGGTTCCAACAGGGTTCTTCGACTGTCTCCATAGGAGAACCCTGTTTGATTCCAGGTAGAACCCTTTTGGGTTCCATGTAGAACACTCCGTGAAAAGGGTTCTACATGGAACCCAAAAGGGTTCTACCTGGAACCAAAAGGGTTCTACCTGGATCCTAAAAGGGTTCTCCAAAGGGTTTTCCTATGGGGACAGCCGAATAACCCTTTTATGTTCCAGATAGCACTTTTTTTTCTAAGAGTGCATGTACCAAAGGTACATACAGTATACACCTGCCTAACCCATAAGAAACATACAGTAACTGCTAAATCTGCACTGTTTCCCCCATGAGAGGCATTCCCTCTTTGAATCGTTCCTGGCCATAAAGCAGAGCTCAGTATGAGTGCACAGAGCAGCCACCTCAGCATACCTGTCTGCAGAGCCGAGATCTCCTTCAGGGAGTTCACCTCCTGCCACAGCTTCTCCAGCTGTGACTTTACATCATCCTCATCTGCATCTGCATCTCCATAGAAACACAGACAAGCAGGCAGGCATGTCAGAGAGAAAATGTACAGAAAAACATAGTAGAGCCACTGACGTTTAGTTTAGTGTGTGTGGTGAGTTTTACCTCTCTGTTGTGCTGGCACTGCTTTCCTGGTACGAGATGGACGGCTATATCCCTGGTGGAGCAAGGTGAGAGAGAGAACCAAAAAGATGGGGAGAACCAGACGCGACATGTCTGCACTAAATTCTCGACAAAAGAAAGGGGCACACCTTTTAACACTGACACAGGAGCCCAAAGCACTGTGGGCAGTTCACTATATACAGGCCCACTGTTTGCTCCTGCAGGGATTCACCTCTCATTGGCTGACACTATGTAACTTTGGGTTTTTTCAAACGTCAGGGGGAACTCAAATACCATGGGTGGAGTGACAACAATGATGCCCCTGTTTCTGCCCATTCATAAATATTTACTTGGGACAAGGCGCAATTCATTTAGCGTTTTTCACATCCATTTCACAAACAAGCCGTAAATTCATTGACTGCAACACTGCACAGAATGTTCTGTATGAGCATATCTGACAGCTTCTGTATCTGACCTTCCATCACTCCTCTGTGCATAGATACATTTGACCCATGGTAAATTAATCCTGAAATAGATGGCTAAGAGGAGATTTGTTATTTTATATGCCATGTCAGCAAAATGATTTGTATGACCAAATGCATAGATAGCTCTCCCAATGCATCAAAACATTATGAGGATGATGACATCTTGCTTGTCAACTCTAATTATATCTCATTCAAATGTGAGGGAAATACAGAGATTCTGTTGTGTAACCATGGAAAACAGGGAGCTTATTAGAGCTGAGGAAGTCCAGCTCCCTGCACTGGTGCAGCAGACTTTATTTTTAGTGTTGGATGTTGTCGAGTAGACAGATCAGATGGAAGAGGGGTGCAGTGTTAAGAAAAACTCTGCTGTCTGATTGAGAGAACCAGGATGCCCAATGGGCGTCTCAGAGGCACGTGGCCTCACTTACAAATACATTAAGGGATACCTTTCAAATTTGATTAGATGTAATGGTACAGTAAATATAATGTCTGTGTGAAACCATTTGCATGAATTCATTCCCAAAACCTGAAGAGCAACATTGAAAAGTACTCACTATGTCATAACAACACTCTAGAACGCTGGTCTCATCTAGATAATAGTCTAGGGCCGTTGAGAGGTGCAATATGACCACATACAGTACCAGTAAAAAGTTTGGGCACACCTACTCATTCAAGGGTTTTCTTTATTTTTTAAAAACTATTTTAACATTGTAGAATAATAGTGAAGACATCAAAACTATGAAATAACACATATGGAATCATGTAGTAGGCAAAAAAGTGTTCAACAAATCCAAATATATTTTATATTTGAGATTCTTCAAATAGCCACCCTTTGCCTTGATGACAGCTTTGCACACTCTTGGCATTCTCTCAACCAGCTTCACCTGGAATGCTTTTCCAACAGTCTTGAAGGAGTTCCCGCACATGCTGAACACTTGTTGGCTGCTTTTCCTTCACTCTGCCGTCCGACTCATCCCAAACCATCTCAATTGGGTTGAGGTCGGGGGATTGTGGAGGCCAGGTAATCTGATGTAGCACTCCATCACTCTCCTTCTTGGTAAAATAGCCCTTACACAGCCTGGAGGTGTGTTGGGTCATTGTCCTGTTGAAAAACAAATGATAGTCCCACTAAGCCCAAACCAGATGGGATGGCGTATCGCTGCAGAAGGCTGTGGTAGCCTTGCTGGTTAAGTGTGCCTTGAATTCTAAATAAATCACAGACAGTGTCACCAGCAAAGCAACCCCCCACCATAACACCTCCTCCTCCATGTTTTACGGTGGGAACTACACATAAGGAGATCATCCGTTCACCCACACCGCGTCTCACAAAGACACGGCAGTTTGAACCAAAAATCTCAAATTTGAAGGCCAGATTTACACAGTCTCCTCTGAACAGTTGATGTTGAGATGTGTCTGTTACTTGAACTCTGTGAAGCATTTATTTGGGCTGTGATTTCTGAGGCTGGTAACTTTAATGAACTTATCCTCTGCAGCAGAGGTGACTCTGGGTCTTCCATTCCTGTGGCGGTCCTCATCAGAGCCAGTTTCATCATAGCGCTTTATGGTTTTTGTGACTGCACTTGAAGAAACTTTCAAAGTTCTTGACTGACATTCATGTTTTAAAGTAATGATGGACTGTCGTTTCTCTTTGCTTATTTGAGCTGTTCTTGCCATAATTTGTACTTGGTCTTTTACCAAATAGGGCTATCTTCTGTATACCTTGTCACAACACAACTGATTGGCTCAAATGCATTAAGAAGGAAAGAAATTCCACAAATTAACTTTTAAGAAGGCACCTGTTAGTTGAAATGCATTACAGGTGACTACTTCATGAAGGTGATTGAGAGAATGCCATGAGTGTGCAAAGCTATCATAAAGGCAAAGGGTGGCTATTTGAAGAATCTCAAATATAAAATATATTTGGATAAAGAAAAACCCTTGAATGAGTAGGTGTGTCCAAACTTTTGACTGGTAGTGTAGTTAAAGTGGTTTAGCTACACAATGCTAAAAGGATGCAATCCATATTTCAAATAGATTACAGCATAGCAGCATAAGAAAGTAAAAGACCTTCTGCATAAATTATGTTTATGCCAGTCGGAGAGATACATGCTGCAGACTTATCTGATAGTGGCTATAAATAGCACATTGTCAGAAGGAAAAAAGGTCACCCATTTGAGTTACGTTATTGTGGGGGGATAGGAACTTGATTAAAGGTCAAGCATTTGTTATCACAGTTGTATTTGATTTATAGGAAATTGTAGTGGTGGCATTGTGAAAGGCCACCAGCCTGTCAGTAAATAGCAAAGGACCAACCTAATTTATATTGCATAATAAAGGTGTTACATACCCCCCTGCTATAAATGGAAAAGGGATGATAAGAGAATGTCAAGACTCAAGGTGATTGGGAGAGATGCAAATCAGTAATTCATGTTGAATCCTTATGACCTAATAAGATAAGAACATAAGAAATAGTAGATGAGATATCAAATGGCAGCGCTAGTTAAAGTAAATACTTTTTCATACTGTACATTCTAGGAGAAATACCCCAGCCTATGAGAGAGTGTAATATTATAGGGAGTCTTTCACAGGGTGGCTTGTGGAGAAAACCTGAAAATGGCACAGGCCAAGAAAAACACACAGCCTTCCCAGAATGCTCTGCAGATACATTTATTCATGTAAACAGAACTAGACTACGTACAGTACAACATAACAAAAACACTAATACCAACAAATACAGGTAAACAATATCTTCATATAAGTCTGTAATCAGGCTCCAGCTACAGTACTAAACACACCTAGATAGTTTATCTTTTTTTACTTTTAAGGCAAGTTGACTATCCATCATAATGACCTCTCATGGAAACACACACATACACACTGCAAGTTACTCTAGACTCTCTAGACCTAGACTAACAGGAAAACCCAAAGAGACATTCACATTTAGATGTACTGTCCACCTTCATTAATATACTTGATTTCCAGTATCATTGTCAAGTCTATCATGAAAGGAAATAGGTGCAATGTTATGATGTAGCTAATAAAATATTTCAATCAAATGTTGTGACAGTTAATGTGACTTAGCTAATTAATTAAAGATCATAGGAATGTTGTGAGTGGCAAATGAAAGATCAATGAAATGTGTGAAACTGGATTGCTTCACCAGTGGGTGGTTCGTTTGGAGAAGCACAGCTGGCTACTTTCCAATCACTACTACAGCCATGTAATAACTGGGCCCTTTCTTCCCATACAGACAGTAGGGTACATCCAAAAATGTATCATATTTTCTATTCACTTGCAAAGTTACAAGACATTGTATGCTGTTTTATATTGTGTCTGTACATTTATTTTTGGTTTGGGAATCCTCCTGAAGGTAATATCTAAGCTTGCAGTTATATGAAACACATCTGCCTTAGCTAGTATTACTGTTAATAACAAGGCAACTCAATAGCTTTCATCTCCGTACATCAATGGTAGTTTCATATTTTTTATGAATAAATAGCTTTGTGCGATGGACGATTTCACACTTTCCATATGGATAATACTAGTAGCACAATATAGTTGTCATACTCCATCTCACATGAGATGTTAACACCTGATATGAATAACTCCTGTCCTGTGGTATCCACAGCAATAGTACTTCAATTTTTGATGACCCATCAGCTCATCTGTAAGTGAATGTGTCTTTAGTCCTCCCTCTCTGTGGCACTCTGTTTGGGAGGCATTGTACACTATACACAGGCACCAGCAGGTAAACATATCACAACTTCTTACACACATGCATAAAGAACACAGACTAAACAGAAACGGGTGTGGTTAATCAGCATCATCATCACCTGACTACCACGCCATTTCTCTCTGCATTGTTTGTCTGAAATGTGGACTATGGATGATGCCAAAAGCTGACGTTATCTTTCTTATTTTCATTAGTTGCAGAAATGTAGGAAACACACACTCAGAATGCTGCCTGGCATTTGGCTGAACCACCATGAAATCCAGTGTCTGTGGAATGGGTACAATTCAAATACTGAAATCTTCTACAAGACTGCTGCAGACTTCTAGCTCAAAGGCACTAGTGATCCCATAACAACACCGCAGAAGGTCGGATCCCTAATGTGACGGTAAACATGGTAGCAGGCATTTACAGTGGCATTTCCTAATACGCTCTCCTAGCTCACACACTGCTGAAGATAACCTGAGGGAGGAGGGTGAGAAACGATCTCAGATAGTGATTTTGATAGATTCACTGCAGCAGGTGGAGGTAAATAGCCCAAGGCCAATCTGCTCTGGGTTTGCTGTGTATTCAGTGGTAATGTGGTGATCAGAGTGACTAGTGCTCACAAAGCAGCTGAAATGAATCTCACTTCTGAGTTATCATAATAGTGGTAAAAGAGAAAGTGGAAAATAGCTTAGAGGAGACGTTTACTTTAACACTCACCCTCCTTGTTTCCCTCTTCTTTCAACCACCAAGACATGAGTACAAGCATGGTCAATATCACTTATGTGCTGGTTCACTCTCACTCACTTACTGTTCTCTTTCACACTCAATCTCTTATTTTCCCTAAAAGCCACTCAATCAACCACTTATTCACTCCGTTCCTACTTTGCTCCCTTGTTAAGGTTGCCATAGAAGACAATGAACAACGATGAGGCTGCAGATAGGTCTAAGCATCTCTTAACATAATTTG